CTTTTCAAAAAGGCACATCCATCTGGCAGCAGTGCTCCACCTCAGTGACCCACAGCACATTTTACTCTCCCAGACCTCCTGATAAATCAGGCCTTTGGTTGCATTCCTTCTCTTTTATGTTGCTGAGGTGTGAATCACAGAAACAAAAAACCTTCTGTCTGCAAAGCACCCCGCACTGCCAACAGGATAAAAAAATACATAGCTGAAAGCAACGTAAATTCATCCTACACGTCTAGCTCAGGTGCAACTCTAAGGATCAGAGCTCTGTTACATGCGCATTCCATGGAGACAGGAAAGCACTGCCAGAGAGTGGAGAGAAAGGGAAACAGTGATGCAGGAGTATCCAAGTTATGTGCCTAGATCAGCCTGAAATAGACTATGTGAATAACCTTCCCTGTGAGCAAATACAGGCCAGCCACTCTGGAATAAGACTCCTGATGCTCTACAAGAAGAGGAAAGTGAGTCAGATTTTAAAAACAGTTTAAAACTTTTTATAGTCTTGTTTTCCTCTTTCACATCTTTACTGTAAGGGTTGCCTACACATGAACTGCTGTCATTAATACTCTCATGTAAGTACAGTGACACCAGATGTACCCTCCAAAGGGTACAGACAACCAGACATCCTTCCATGGATCTAACTGCGCCAGATGAAAACAGTCCATTGTCCTTCCCAAAGTACAACCATAACCACACCAGGAGATGCAATTATTTGATTACCTCAAGAAAAAAATGTCACTCTCAAAGTTAAATAGTGAAATTTGAAAATTCTGTACAACCTGTACAAAACCCAGTGCATTAACTCCTAAAGCTTAGCTGAAATACTTTTGAGGACTGTCTTCAATATTGGTGAGAGCTTGGAAAACTCAAATGCAAGGACAAGAAAAGCTGCCACAGTGAGTCAGAACAACATGTCTATTCATCCTCTAATTCTACAGCCTACAACTACTTAAACACTGACTCTAACTGTGGTAGCCTGCTACACAAAAAAGGAACTAGTGTGGCTCTAATCGTGATTACATGTAGTTCTCAGTTGCTCATATGTAAGCTTGATCATACATGAGCAATGGAAGCAGCCATCTGTGGGCCAGACTACATCCATCAAACCAGCAACAGAAAATACATCAAACAAGCTTCAAGGCACTAGTAGACATTCCTCTTTACATACACAGCAGGCATAGTTTAAGTTTAGCCAATGTCTCATAAATAACTGGTCCTGCACATAAAGATGTTTAAAGATCAGAAACATCATGTTAGTTGTTAGGGAAGGCTGGAAGCACAATGTACCATAATTTGCCCCGGGAAATAGCAAAGAGATGAGTCTGAGTTAGTTAATCTTTGTATTAGTTGAAAAGAACTCATTAGTAGTTTCACCTACCTCACTTGAGCTCTTGCACCGGTATCCTTGGGCTTCTCAACTTCCAGAGGTAATTTAGCTGCAGAATGGTCTGCATGTTTCTCCTCTGCCTCACAGACCTTTTCCTCCTCTCCTTTGCCATGAGGCTCCTCTTGCTCCCTGAGCCCCTGACCATCCTTCTGGTAGCTGGCCGAACTATGGTAGGAATGATTTGACTGTCTTTCCTGGTGATCATCTTCTTGCTCAGAGCCATGGGCACTTTCATGAGAATGGTCCAGCTCACTCAGGTGAGAGCTTCCCTGGCTGACATTACAAGAGGAGCCATATCTACTACTGCCAGCAGGACTATGAGAGAACAAGAAAGTCCATCAGAAAAAAACAACAGTGGTTTAGAGAAACACAAAGCAATCTGCACAGCTATCAGACTGAGTGGGACACTAGGTATTACTGAAAAGACATGTTAGGTTAATACTTGACTATTATGGTCCCATAGCTAGATCTAGACTTCGGAACCTCAACATTTTGGTAGGCAGTAGGAATAGTTACAACACAGCCCACCCACTGATTGACCATATACACTTCTGGTCTTTCTTGTACCAGCTGACTACTTTTTCATCTTACATCAGCTGGAAACTGCCAGTGAGGATATTCTAACAACCAGACATGAATAAGAATGGAAACATAGCAATTCAGACTGGAAGTGTTTCTGTCTTGTGCAGTTTCATGGCAGCTAAGGTCTCTACCATCATAATTTAAGCTGCATATTAACTGTTACCTCCTAAAGTTAACTTTATACATATTGTATGTTTATGATCAAATACAAAGTGACAAGATCAAGGTTGTCAAGACTATCAACTTAAAAGCTTTGATAAAAGTAGAACAGTTCTTCAAACCAGAGCCACAATGCCACACAATGCCACAGGGACATGATCCATCTTATTCAAGACACAACTTCCAGGACTGAATTCCTAGAATCCCCACACAAAACACTATGGATGGAAATTTCTCATGCAGTGAGGAAAACCGCAGCCAAGAATTAAGAAGCACAAATGTTGCTGTCTTGCACACTCAGGAGAATTTGAAGCCAGATAGTAAGTTTCAGGAGTGCAGCACTGCAACTGTATGATCAGAGGCACACATTTTACTTGCATCACACAGAGATACAAGTTTAGCAAGCCCCAGTTTTGATTTTTGAGGGCAATTTTAACTTAACACATGCATAAGATGGAATACACACTCATGGAATACTGATTACTTCCTTTAGTGGCTTTCCTAACTGCATGAAATAACTTTTGCACAGATTCTAGGAAGAGCAAGCATTAGAATACCTCCACTGTTATATCAGAAAATGCTTAAAATCTTCAGTAATGTGAAATTAACCTAATTAGTTCTATAGTATATCAGCAGTAAGTAAAATCTCTTTCTAAAATTAAAAGCCTTTACCTTGCATTTTGAAAACAAACTGCTCATTCATTCCAATACATTCTACCTACTATTACTTTTTTATTAGCAAATACAACATAACTAGGACTAAACAAGAAAGCAAAGTGAATCAAATGCAGCAGAATTAAGACACAAAGAATATAATTTCTGAAAGGCTAATGAAATTAGCACTAATAGCATCTTATTCAGTGGGGCACAGAATAAGAACATGGGAAACCAATTACACTTAGAGAAAAAAAAAGAGTGGGAAAAGGAGAGAGAATGGTCTGAAGGCTGGTGTATAACCAGTTACTGCATTTTACCACATCCTCTGTGGCAGTTAGTGGCACTACTACAAACACTTGACAACAAGTAGGGAGCAGGGAACTACAGACATCAGATACTAAGGCCAACATCTACTGCTGCAGGACTGCATTATAAATGGTCAAAAACTTGAAGCCATTTATTATGCCTCATTTGTAACTAGCCTTTTCTCATTCAGTTGTTCCGTGCTATTCAGATCTGCAGCCTGTATGCTTGGATTAAGTGTTTCTCCACTAGGAGCAGAATTAAGCTGAGCTTCCTTCATTTCAGGCTTGTCTGGTGTGGCCTCTTCTGCCTGATCTTCTTTCTGTAGTTCACCTGAAATCACATCCTGCTGATCTTCTGACTCTTTATCAAATTTTTCTCCTGCATCTTTGCTGGATGTATCATCGACAGCGCTTGCACCCGGTGGTTCCTCAGAAAGTTCATTGTCTACAGCATCAGGCTGCTTTGAAGACAAGTTTACTTCTATATTTGCATCAGTCTGTTGATCTGAAACCAATTTTGATTTTTCTTCTGAACTAGCTGAGAATGATTTTGAGGTTTTATCTGAACTGACTGTTCCTAACACCTTGTCATCTGGTTTTGACAAAGCCTGTGGTGGTACATGTGGCTCCTTCTTGGCAGAGGTCTCCTTGTTCTCTTTTTGCCAGGGAAAGGAGAAATCTAGCTTTTTCCCAAATACTGCTCCTTGGGCACTCTCGGGCTTACCCACCTTTTCTTCACTACCTCCTTCAAACAGAGTCGAAGAAAGTTTCTTAAAGCTGGACATGAGGCCCTGATCTGCCCCTGCTTTATTAACAGATGGTGGCTGCTGAGAGAAGAATGACCCAAATGGCTTTCCACCATCACCAGATGACATAAAACTGAACTTTGGCAAACTGGGGATGTTTGGTATTTCAAAGACCGTTTTACTACTGTTTGCATCTGGAGGAATGTTATTAGGTTTATCCTGTTTCTTCAAGTCACATTTGGAAGCAATCCCTTCTGCAGGCACCTCATCAGTTGCTATATGTTTCTTCTGTTCAATAGTTTGCTGTTCTGCCTCGCTTGTATTCTCCTCATTCAGCTGGAGCAGATTAACATCAGGCTCAACAGCTGGAGCTGTGGGTTCTTTATTTTCACTACTGATCATGTCCTGCTGATCAATACCAGCATTGGCCTGATTCCCTGTAACAGCAGGCTCTGATTCAAGTGCAACACTCTCATCCAATTGGGAAAGGTCTGTATCTGCCTTATTAATTGAGGCTTCCATTTCCAGTTCATGCCCATCAGAAGAAACACTCTGAAGCATGTCAACACCTGCCTTGTCTGTAGAAGCAGCTTGTTTCTCTGTTACATGTGAAGACGCCACATCTAGTTGGCATGCATTTAGATCAGTCTGGTCAGTGGCCTCAGCCTGCACCGTATCAATTGCACTACTGAACTCAGACTGGCATGGCTTAGTATCTACCATCTCAGAGGGTTGTGATTCATTATCCAACTGAAGCACCTCAAGGGCTTGATTTTCATTAGAGACTGCTGTTCCTGGAGTGGTCCTCAAAGGTTCCTCTAGACAGGTTTCTGAGCTCTTATTTTCCTCAATTTCTGTTTTCACAGGAGACTTTTCTGTGGATTTCACTTCTGCTGAAACAAGTAGTAGATCCTCCTTCAGAGAGCTTGTGCCATCTCTTTCAAATTCTCCAGCTGCAGTTACATTTTCTATCCCCCTGGAGTCTTTTGATGGTATAGTCCCAGTGACATCTTTCACACTAGTGCTCTGAGGTTTAGGGGTGGACTTTGAAGGCATCTCTTTTGGAGATTCTTTTGGATGCATCTCTTTTGGAGATTCTTTTGGACCTTTGAAGATGCCAAAGAAATCACTTGTGAAAGCTGGTGCTGGGGCACTTGGGAGGGATGAGAAACCAAAGAAAGAGGAGCTTTTCTTCTGTTCAATAGGAGGTGCAGTATCTTGGGGTTGGGAAAAGAAACCAGATAATGTTTTAGGTGGTTTCATTTTTGTCATGAAACTTGAAAACATTTCAACTGATGAATCCAGTACCGATTTATCACTCTCAGGTTCCTTAGGTTTGTTTTGCAAATTAGGTGCCTCTGGCAGTTTTGAAGGAGAGCGTAGCTCCTGTGTCTGTTGTAACCCATCACCAAGAGTTTGTTTGGGTAATTTATGTTCTGGCAACTCACACTGTACATGTGTGTCTTCAGAGACTGCTTCATTTTTTATGTCACTCAGGGTATTTAAGTCGTTTAGACTCTGGGAATATGTTTTATTATTTAAGGCCACACTATCATCTTTATTTTCAGAAGCTTGTTCTTTTGAAGGATAAGACTCTTTGTTATCAACAGGAAATGCAACACTGTTCCATTTCTCTGTGCTACCCAAAGTATCATCTTCTGCCTCTAAGGAAACAGTCTGTTGGCTCTGAGAACCCTCCTGTTCACTGGGAGCCTGAAGGCAAGGACCAGAAGAAGCTGAATTGGTTACTGTAGCATCATCAGTCTGTGGAAGCTTCTCTAAGTCGTTCTCCTCAGCTGCCTGAGCAACACTTTCTACCTTTTCCAGTGCCAGGGTCTCAGATTTATTTTCTGGTATTGTAAGGTTATTAGGCATTTGCTTGCCAGTCACTGCTGCAATAATGTCATCAACTTCTTTTTTATTGTCTGCTTCTTGCTGCCTGGCAGAACTGCTAATTTTGACACCAGAGTCAGTGGAAATATTTTGCTTCTCAAATGGCTTAGAGTTCACTGGTTTAGCTGGTTTTGTAGTGCTCTCCTGTCCTGCAGCAGTTTGTGGCTTTTCATCCAAAAAGGACGTCAAATTGAAGAAACTAAAGCTGGTACTTCTTTGAGGTGTGCTCTTCTCAGCAGTTGGACCGCTGGAGAAGAAGGAGGGCAGACGAAACAACCCCTCTGTTTCTTGCTGCTTCCCACTAGGAGGAGCAGTAGCAGGTGCTGAAGGCTTTGGTTCATCTGATCCAGTGAAGAAGGAGAATATGCTCTTACTGGCTGGCTGTGCTGACTGTGATTTTGAAGCAGTGATATCAGAAAAGCTGAATGGCAAACTGAAACCTGACTCTTTCAGTGTCTGATTTGGCTTTGGCTTTGCTTGATTATCTGTGCCTCCTACACGCCTTCCTCCTTGCTGCTTTGGTGTAGCGGAGGCTACACTGCTTTGCTGCACAGCTGACTGACTTGGTTGGCTTACTTTGGGACCTGCACCCATTGGCTTTTCTGAAGTGTTTCCAGGAGGCACTTTTTTACTTTCAGGAGATTTCTCCTCAGTTTTCCTGCTTCCTTGTTCCAGTGGCACCCCATGACTAGGTGAGATGTGCCTGTCCATGCCTTCTGTTCTTGCCCCTTCCTTAGCGGTGGAGGACAGACATGGCATACTGGCACTCTGAAGACCATCAGGCTTCTCAGTTTGTTGTCGTCTCAACTCAGCCACAGGTCTGCTATTGGTTTTCGGCAGAGTCGAAGTACTTGGCGTTGGCTGAGAAGACACAGAGTCCACTTTGAAGAGATCTCCCAGGGTTCCAAATAATGATGAGATGCTGGAGGTTTCCTTCTGTTCTGGTGGTATCACCTTTTCTGGTTTATCTCTT